GATATTTCCTCATAATATAATCGGTTTGGACTTCTCCAGGACGCTATGGGTAGATTTTACAGAGTAAAAAGATATGTGTTGATACACTGAACAAATAATGCTAAAGGTGGCACTCAAGCAAAATGTGCTTCTATAAAGGATTAAGAGTTGCGCAACAACACCACATTTCTTTTTTTAATTCAATAGAATAGAAACACTAAAATTATGTGTTACTTTATCATGGCCTTAAGTTTCTCAATTTGTAATTTTGTCCTTGACAATTAAAAGAAAAGTATTTTTATCTTGTTAAACTAAGGTCTTTAGGTGGAATCCCTCTGAAATAATCAAAATCACTCCAGTAGCTTTTATTTTCCTATTACCGCTCAAGAAAATAAATGATACAGAAATAAAAAAGGAGAAATATTTATTCAACATTCACAAGGAATGAGCTCAGGCAGGGCATGCAGCCATCATTTATTTTACTAATCTTTTCACAAGGCTTTCAGGGTTATGATAAAAAAAGGGGAAAAAATGTTTTAAAAAATGGATTCTGGGCAGAGATGTGTACTAAACTGTGTGCGTGTGGTGATGGGGAAGGGACAAGGCATGTTTTTCCTCAATTATGTGGTTCAGATTCAGATGCAGGAAGTGAAAATTTAGATCACCATTTCTGTGGGTGTGTTGAATGTGTATGTGTGTTTTATGATGAATACTGACAGGGAAATATGATTTCTACATGAATGGTGAGAGTTTGTGGGGTGTTGCACAGACATAAAAGGGGGTGAAGATAAAAGTGAAGAGGAAGTACATGGGATTTAATATCCAAATTTAAAAAGATTTACATTTGAAAACATCAATGTTTGAGTCCAATTAGGAACACAACAATCGCTGTCGTAAAGTGCTGAGGAGAAACCAATGCGGTCCGGCCACAAAAACTTCTTATAAACAAGAGTGGGAGTGCTGAATCCCACTGCTAGAAATACACCCTGAAATATAACAGGGAATAATACACAAAGCCGCAGCATAGGAGACACAGGAGGAAGTTTCATTTACGAAGAGATTTTTTTTAAAGGGACAGACGCATTTTGGTTAGGTCAGAAAGATGTTTAGATAATCTTGGTTCAATAATGGAAGAATTCCAAAGCTGTCATTTTTTTTATAAAAACCACAAAAACAGAATTTAAATCCAAAAGTTCTTTTTCATAAGTTAATTTACAAAAAGTTAATGCAACAATGGGATAAAGGACAAAAATCTGTCATTTTCTGTTCCAAGCCACTGGCAATTGTTACATGAATGGTGCCTTGTAAGCCCCCACTAGCTGATGGTTCCCACACATTTGAAAAAAACTCATATTTTTAATTAAACCAATATCACAAGTTAAAAAATTATTTAAAAAATACTCTTTTACTTGTTTCAATCACAAGCTTGTGCCAACCTTTCATTTTGAAACGGATTAAATCAGATTTCTGCTCGGTGTGGGATGATCTTAAAAAGGGTTCTGACATGTTTAAGGGTTTAAACATTTTAAACTGATGAAATTTACTTTGAAACAGAGATAGTCTGCTAACACCTAAAGGTCCAACACATGCATGATAAAGAAAACCAAGATGAACACTGTTCGAAGCAGTTTATCTATAGACTTCAGACAATCCACCTTAAGGATAAGGGTCTTATTGTAAAATTATATTTGCCTAAATGTATTTTCACCACTACCATCCAGAAAAATACATTAATCTGCATGTGTAACGCTTTGAATGTTGCAAAACAAGATAAATATTTAATTACATAAAAGTATAAGTCAAGTGTATATAGAGGTAAAATCAAATAAGCCAAATGGGACAGAAATACGTGTTTAATTAAGCTTGAATTAAAAAACAAATAGGTAAACTCTACCGTTTGGTCATTAAGGGTTCTAGTGATGAATCAGATTTGAATGAAGAGCTGAAGCATTGATAAGCCTTAGCTAGCATCATTCAGTTTCTCTAAAAGCACCAAAAAAACAATTTGACTTGCTTTCAGTCAAAAGCTGTGAAGAAGAGATGAACTTCAGTGTCATCCTTTTCCTACGATGTGCAACAGTAGCTTCATAAGAGTGTTTACACTATGTATGCCATGTGACCCATTCCCATTGTGTACGCATGCTAATAAGCCATAAAAGACCGGGGCTCAATCAGAATACAGCAAATGAAAGCTCCTTTCTGGTTTTCTTGGCTCGTTTTCTTCAAATTTCTTGGGGCCAGCACTAAGAACACTAACGTGTGTAGGAAAAGGAACGCTGTACTGCTGATCCGAATCCGGAGACAGCCTTTAGCCTTCCAGATGTCTTTATGAAACAGATGGCACTTATACAAAATGGCAGTATACAAATGTAGTGAATGGCTGAATCTATCTGTTACAAAAGGTGTGTTCATTTGCACATGGCATGCAACACACGTGAATAATGTTTATTGTTATTTACATTAGGTGGGCTGGGCTTATATGTCATGACACGCAAAGGATTGTGGGATTTCATAGATAGCATTGCGGGGACGTCACACATCCGAATGCGGACCTACCCACAATCGCTGCCATCTTAGTAGGGGTAATAATTTACTTAGCAACAACAGAGGTACACACCTTCTAACTTCTACCTAAACTTAAGGACGCATATGATAAAAAATTAGCTCCAAGTCACTAGCAGAAACAGCATCAGGGAGGGGAGATGCTACAGCTGACATAGGCAAGCGATAGAGGCTAACTCCAGAGGATCCAGTGAGCACAACTGAACATCCGATAATAAAGCCCTGAGTGCAGGGGAGAGGCTACAGTTGGCTAGGAAGAGGACAGCAGTACTTTGGAGGCGGCAGGTAGACAGGCTGTAGAGAGGCTACACGGACCAAGGCTAGCCTCTAGGCTAACTGTGCAGAATGAAAGGAGCCCAACTGAAGTATGTAATCGCACGATGCTATTGCAGCCTGAAGTGACCCAAATCCGATTTTTTGGCCCATATGCGACCTGTAGCTGATCTTTTCATGGCTGTCTGAACAACACCGATCTGATTTTTTCTAATGCGACCCAGGCACTTGGCTATGTGGTCCTGAATCCGATACGAATCTGATCCTTTCAAATGCGACCTGTGTCTGAACAGCCAGGTCGCATTCATCCGACCTGAACGCCATTAATACCCGACAAAGTTCACTATTCTAGTCTTGCTACGAAGAAGCAGGAAGAAAAACAACAACCGTGGCGGACGATGATGCGGAGAGCAGTATTTATGTTTAAACATCTTGGAAAGATTGTTTTTATGGTTGGGAAAGATCGCTAGAGGCTCTCCGGCACTACCATCCATGTTTACTTCCCAAAACACACGGCACGCTGGCCTGTGAAGTTATTGCGTCCTCTAATGCGCATGCGGGAGACTTGCATTGTGTGACTGCAGTTCACACAGGAGATCACATACAAGTCGCATATATTTGGAAACGTGAACAAAATCGGATTTTACAAAAAAAAATCGGAATTGAGCATCAAGACCTACACTGTGAACGTAGCCTAAGATAGGAAGCATCCAGGCTCCCTTTCCTACCTCCTTCCTTACTGCTAGCGCTATTCATACAGCACTTAGGGCAATTCACCTCAACATTGGCTAAAGAGGCTAAATGTGAATACAGCAAACGTAGGACTGCTGTGCCAAATCTGGACAGCCTTTAGCTTTTGAATGTTATCATGCTACAGAAATGCACATGAATGATGCTAGTCAAATTAGGACTGCAGCCTTCAGAAAACAAACACAAAAAACAGCAAGATACACGAAAGAGGAACTCTATTGTGAAACTCAAAGCATGCATCACACAGAGTATACTTAAACTAATACGTACTTAAAGTAAAATTCCATTAGGTGGATTGTGCTTGTATGTCCTGCCTCGCGAAGGGAATCAGTATAGGTTCAGCAATTAGCTACACAGCGAATCGATAGGTCCCTATGCTAAATGAATAATTAATAGGAAGCATTCCAGCTTCTTACTGCCAGCACTATCTGAGCAGCATGTATGGATGCAGACGCACAACTGCTTTGGCTTAAGAATCCTTACCTATTTACTATATTCAGACTAAGCTTAAGAGCACATCATTTATTCTCCTCATAGCATGTGGTGGACCTCCCTGGGCAAAAAAAAAAAAAACAAGATTGTCATACTGATGGTTATGATTTTGAGTTAGCATGTTCAAAGAAAACTAAAAGAAAGGAAAATATGATTTGATAGCTGATTTATATAAATGTCTGTGCTTTAAATTATTTAATGTATCTAAATCTAATGTGTAACTAACAACCTACTGGATACTAAGTAAAGATAAACTGATATTAATTAGCTAGTCATAGGAGAAACATTTGTGGGAGGAGCCTGTGAAGTAAAAAAAAAGAAACAACTGGAGTGTTAAACTGAAATACAGATATAAAGATGATTATTACTATTAAGCTTAAAAAAAGTGCAATCGTGTCCAACTACGGTAGCCTGTGAGAGCACTCCATTGTATGCTAGTGCATTTAATTTGAAAAAAGTAAAAAAAAAAAAATATATAAAATAACAAAATAAAAGGTTTTTATTTGTTAGAAAATCTTGATATTCTGACAGCTAAATTTTAGGACCCTGTATGGAACTAGCAATGCTTTAAGTAGGAAAGTCATAACCCAAACGTTATTTCCCGTTGCATAGTAGTATCAAAGATATGAGTAATAAAACACTACCAGAAGTGTTTGAGTAACAGCCATTGCATCATCAAACAGAAGAGGAACACCCTAAAATAAAAAAGCTAAAAGCTGAATTTACAGTTTTATGCTTTGCTTGCAATAAACTGAACCTTGCCTTTTAAACTATACATAATTTCTCCATAAAAAAAGAGAAGAAATTCACATCCACTTTATTTAAAACTGCCCCCCCCCCCCCCCCCCCCCCACACACACACACACCCCCGCCCCCCCAATTTTCAGCATCTCAATACCTCTGTAAAATATGTGACTTATATACAAAATATCTATAGAAAAGTGTAAATTCACACAGGCCCTTTCATTGGTATCAACATAAAATCAGCACAAAGTGTTGGAGTCATCAGGTTTCATTCACACTCGCACAAAGGCAGCGTTTTTTTTAGAGTCAATGCCAACGACAGAGAGCGTTTATAGAGTTCTGACAATTGCAGATGTGGAAGGTGCACATCTCAACTGTCTTTTACTGAAGAGAGTGCAGGCACACTTTATTACATTATACAGGGGCCACCGTGGACCACCAAGGAGTTTTCCTATACTGTGGAGCCCTTTAATCCAAAGAACAGCTTCAATCACATCTGTTCTCTGGGCAGAAGTTCATCAAGGTTTTTTTTTATGTTCACTGTAGGTCTTGGTTTTCGTCCAAAACTGAATTCCAAAACGGGCTGCAGTCCAGAAAAAAAAAATCCACTACAGCTTCCACAAATGTGAGCTTTGTCTCTCAGATGAGCATATGTTGAATTACTTGGAAAAAGCAGTAGCCTTTTGTTTGGCCTTGTAGATAAAAAGCCCTTATAACATCCATCTTTTTAACTTAAAGTTCTGCAGTAGGTCCTGCTGGATTGGTGTAGTTTGCATCGGCGGTCTTCAGTTGACTTTAAAGATGCTGAAGACATGATTGGCCACTGGGTGGAGACTGAAGGACGGGCCCGTCATGGCCTGGAGTTCTGTGCCTTTCTCGAGGCGCAGGAGGCCGGACACCTGGCAGGGCTTCACGAAGTGGAAGGAGTGTGGCCCCGCCGACGGGGTGGTCCCGTAGCCCTCCATGCACTGCAGCTTCTGGGGCCGGGGGCCGTTGGTCACAACGTCCAGCTTTACATACTGAGACTGCTGTTCATTGAACAATACCTGGGAGGGAGGGGGATATTAATCAAAACATTTTAGGATTTCAAATAAAACACGTTTCAAGGATTCAGAGGTGTCAAGTAACGAAGTAAAAATACTTTGTTACTGTACTTAAGTACACTTTTTAGGTATCGATACTTTACTCCATTACTTATTTTTCTTCCTACTTCTGACTTCTACTCATTACATTTTCACACAAGTATCTGTACTTTCTATTCATCACAGTTTTAAAACAAAAGTTACTCGTTACTCTTGGCTGCGGTTTAATGTTTAAAAATATTTTTTTCACGTCATGTGCGCCATCCAATGCAGATCATTGGCGCCATCCACATCTAGTGAAAACTAGTATAATTGGATGAGTCATATAATGCAAACACTCATTGGTTAGCTAAAGGAAATCATCTGAAGCAAGCAGGTGTTCTTCAAACTGTAAACGTGAATTGTCTATGCCATGCTACAATGTGGGATTCAGAAAAAGATGCTGAAATGTCTGAAAGGTCGGACACAGGTGAGAGCGTATCGGGAGATGGAGACCAACAACACCTCCCGTATCCTTGCCCTATCTCAAAGAATTTTTCAAAATAGTCAAAAAATTGAGCTTTCAATTCATATAGTGGCATCTGGCTGTTTTTTTAAAAAGGTTACTTAATACTTTTATACTTTAAGTCGTTTTTGGAGCACATACTTTTTCACTTTTACTTCAGTAAAGAGGTCAAGTTGATACTTCAACTTTTACCAGAGAGTTTTTAAACTGCAGTATCTATACTTCTACTTAAGTAACAAATGTGTGTACTTTTGACACCCCTGCAAGGATTCTAATGCTTTTTGGAATCATTTTTATAGATATTGTTTTTTGTATATTGTCCTATCATCATGACCATGGACAAAATGACATAAAGACATGTTTTTGATAATAAAACACCATTGTACACTAAATCAAACTCTTTATTTAGCTCTGACAGCTTAATTAAAAACAGAAAACCAATCCTGAATAGCTCTATTTCTGCTTTTGGCAGGGCTTCAGCGCATATATCAACTCCCCTTTACTAGAATAGGGACAAATAAAGCCATTTTAAGAGCACATTACTTTTTATCTGTTTTTGATTTTTGTTTTTATGCCTGAACACCAGCCTAAATCTTTCTAAAAGACCTCCTGGGATTGTCCCTACTGTGTCTCTAGTTTTCAACTTTAATTTAGCAGATTTATTGACATGAAGTCATTTTTCTGAGATGTTGATTATTTGCATTCATAGAACTCCCCAAAGTACCACGACTCCATTTTTCATCTTTTTTTATCACCATCTCCACCACTTTAGCTAGCATTAGCATCTTAGCCACTAAACTTATAAATCAGGTGCAATTGTTCACAGCAATGCTGTCAAACCACTTTGATAAATTTATTGTCAATATACCAGAACGATGATGCATCAAACACAGCTGCTCTGCCGAAGCGATCACAGCACTGAACACAACTGATATATGAGGACATTTTGCAGATTTGGACAATATGCAGCTCGGTTTAGAAACTTCTGTCAAATAGATGTAGGAGGTTTGATATTTGTAGTTTGAATCTAATATGGAAAAGTTTAAATGTACTATTATTTTCACAAACTGGGCGAAGGGGCATTATGTGACTATTAACAAACGTATCTGTATACAAACAGTCTACGGCTTGTTCCCTTCTTTATTTTTGTGTTTTTTTTTTATGTAATTATTGGTCTAAGAGTTGAAGTTGTCCGTCCCAGAACATTTTCTACCATTGTGTCAACCCTAACTTAGGGCCCTGTCCCACCTTGCCGATTTAGCCAGCTTATGCCGACGTCCCAGAATCTTCTAAAATGCTGGCATACGCTGAACTTTGTGTGTATTTCTTCAATTTTGGGCGTATATATAGCGTATTCATAACGAGTCCAGAGCGTACGTTCAATTACAGCCTAAGTTATGCATAACGCACGGCAGCTTAATGCCCATGAAATGATGCACAAGCCAGTGTCCTGAGGGGCGTCACCTTCTCATGATGGGGATGAAGTCTGGAGGAGAACTGACAATTTCCTACTGTAAACCCATTTTATAACAAAACATTACCAATACACCATTATACAGTAGCTGTAAGTTAGAAACACGTTCAGCTGTCGTCTGGAACACGTCAAATACGTTGATATTCGTTGCAGATAAGTTCTTGATAAGTTATACATAAGTTATACAAAAGTTACTGATAGGTTTTGGATAAGCTAGACGCCACAATTTATGAGTAACTTATACTTAACGTACGTCAACGATCAGATAACTTACCTGTAACGTATGGCCCATGTACAGTATGAGCATACGCCTGCATACGTACTTGCCATATGTTGACGTGTGCCAGGTTGCTTCAACATACTTTAGCACGCTCAGAACTTATACAAAACATACCCATAACTTATCCAATCTATGCCAGCATTTTTGCCAGATTTTTCATACGTCATGCAAATGCTGTCTAAATCGTCAAGCTTTGAAAGGGCCTTTACTTTGGGAACAATTTGCCGCTGCTTTCACAGTCAAAGATATGAAGAAATCTTCTAAGAACTGCTGATACTATACTGGAAAGAAATATGCTCACAAATGAGGATCAGAATCAATAGATAAGAGTGTATCATATTGTGCAAAAAAGAAATAAACCATACAATTAAATTAAATTGATCTGATTTAGCTGATTTTTTAAACTAATAATTCATGAAAAACGTGTATTGGACATGATGGGTTGTTATGGCGTTATACATGTTTTTAAGTAAGAAACAAGGAATTGGTTATATTTTTTTTTAAATCTGGGTCAAAAAATATGCTTTTCTGCCCTTTCTACTGATAACAGTGTCATGATCGTGCCACTGATGACTGGCATGATTGTTTATTGCATTCACCTGCCTGGCTTGGCACAGTTTCTCATCCCCATTCATCTATGTCACCTGCTCCATTCTTCATTTAGACTTTGGTGTTCTCCAGCAAACCTGATTGTGTTCTGGTTTCATGATCCTGACCCTTTTTGCCTTTGGACCTCTGAGCCTGCCTGTTCCTGCTCTGATCTGTTTGCCTGACCTGTCTGCGAACTTCTACTGGATTCTGCCTGTTCCGATTCTGGATCTGCTTCCTGACACCATCCTGGATTTCCATTCGGTACCTCTTTGGATCTCTAATCTTCTGTCCCGGACTCCTGTGAACCTCTCTGGCTTCGTCCTCTGGATTGTCCGGCCTTCCTTCGTCTGCTTGGATCTGATCTCCTGCAAGTTCTGCTGTCTTCAAGGCCTCAGCTTCCCGAACTCTCTGAGCAGCGTTCGCCGCATCATGTTGGTAGCCGTCCGGCTGGAATGCACCTTCCCCTCTGGGCATGGACCTAACTTTAAGACTAGAGGTTCCTGCCATAGACACCCTAGCTGCTAACTTCAGATATGTCGTTTTTAAATAAACGCTCATTGAAATATTTCTTCCTGTCTGTCTGTCTGAATACCGGGTCCTCTGTTCTGAGCCCTGACAGTTATTCAAATATTTACTTCTTTGCAGATTTTTGCAATTAGTTCAAGATTGCTAAAACATCCCTATAGTATACCACAATAATAACTGTAAGGCAATATATAGATTGTTTGTAAAAAGCCTGGTTTACTGAAACCCACCTGACAGAACAGGAAGTAGACCCCTGCTCTCTCCACAGTGAAGGTACCTTCATCCTTGTTGTACCTCACTGCTTTACTCATATTCAGCGTCCTCTCCTCCCAGCCTTTTATCACGCCACCATCTCCAACTGAAAACCAAACAAGTCAACGCCTTGTTAAAAACTTCAAAGACTGTTACCAAAACACCTGAAGATGTCTTTATTTCTTAACGAATCTTACCTTGTTGGGAGGAGAGTTTGGTTACTGATGGAAAGTCGGGAGACAGTGATGGAGACAGAAAAAGGGGAAAAAGTCAATTAAGATTTTACGAGCGCAATCATATAGGGGTATTCGATTCAAAACCACTTCAGCAGATGCTTCACGAGACGATTATAAGGGATCTGCCAAGCCACTTACTCTCAAAATGAGACGCCGCTTTCCTTCCATTGCCATTTTTCCCTCGCGTCGAGCCCCCTTCAGACACAAAGACGGGTAAAAAAAAAAACATAGAATATTACCTTTTTTTTCTTTTTGATAAAACAATCACTACCATCTGCATCACGTTAATAACACGGCGGGTTCATTCGCTGCCGCCTATATTCATCTTGGCCGGTTTTTAACGCAGTTAGCAGATGGCCTCAAGGATTTCCTTTCACGTGCTTCGATATATTTCCTCAAACTGTTATTGTAAAGTCACAAAGTGTATGTCTATTTTATTTTCCTTTTTTAGGCCTGGTGTGGGCTAATCTCAGTGCCAGCTGGTCGCAGTCATCTAGAAGATAGAGAACAGAGAGAAAAGGATGGAGGGCGATGGGGTTTGTGTGTCTGGAGGGCTGTGAGGAAAAGGGGAGGGAGGCAATAAAAACAAGATGGACAGTGGAAAACTGAATAAGAACGCATTGAAGACAGGCATTCAGAGGCGCAGCTGAGGGGCTAGAAGACTAAATGAGAAAAATGAAGCACTGGAAAAAGAGTTGAAAAAGGTCTTTGGCTTCTCTGTGACCCAAAACAGCAGATTAAGAGCAGAGTGGAGGAACAGCTACAGCCCCGTAGCTGCAGAGAAGCTGGCTTCTTGCTGTGCATTTAGTTTAGCCTGAGGGGATTTAAAACACTGATACAACCTGAAGAGTGTTTGCAAGAACGGAGGAACGCCGAGCTTATGTTTCAGACGACCCACCTGAATGCCGCCATTATTCAGAAACCCTACACCTTGTTACTAAATTAACTCTCAGGTGGACAACCTTGTAGATTTTAGGATTTTGTGAGAGTGCTATAAAGCCCTCAGGGTGGCCAGGCGTTCCTAACTTGCGCTGTCAGTCCCAAGGAGAGAACATTACAGCAGTGTCTTTCCAAAAAATTTGGACGCCTGCGGTCAGGTTACCATAAACTGGAAAAAGCTGTTTAGGCATCTTTTTTTTCTTCTTCTCACCATTGATATCCATGTAATTCTGCAGCATCTCACATATAGAGTGCATCACGGCCAGACATGCTGCTCTTTAATAATGTTTGTTTCTCTCACATTTGGATGGATGGATCTTATATGAAGCTGACCTAAAGTTTACTTTCGGTCAGAGAAACAAAAAAAAGCGCAGGCATGATGGTGATGCAAGAAAATGCTATAAATACTCTGATGATAGCTCATCAAATCTCCTCACTTCTCACAATGAAATCTTAGCTGTTGTTGGATATTTGCTGAGGGAGAAAATAATTTGTTTTTTTTTACTGAACAAAAAGTGTGCAGACAGACTCCCCCCTCCCTCCTCTGACCAGCTGGTTTTCTGGGCTTTCGAGGCTGCTCTGGTCAGACCTGTAATTTCTGCAAGGGTAAGCCAGCTGCCTGCGCTTTCCTGTGTCAACTTTTAGCAGCGGTAGCTCATGCGGCCCGCAGTACCCGACTTAAAGTGGCATGTGGGCTGAGGCCGGCCAGCGTTTGTGTTAAATGCTCTTCCTAAAAAAACACTAGAGTTCGGCTGGTATGTGTGTATTGTGTCTGTCTGTGGTGATCGGAGCAACTGAAAAGCTCAAGTCTGAAGAAAGGAGGCGGTTGGGGTGGTGGGGGGGGCGGGGGGGGGGGGGGGGGGGGGGGGGGGGGGGGGGGGTTAGCTGAAGTTGAGAGAAAGCAGCTCTGGCAGGTTTGTATTACCGTCTCGCTTCACTCGCTCCAGCAGCAGCTCTCTTTTCTCCAGAATCAGCTGAACGATAGCCTTCCTCTGCGTGTTGACCTGTTGGAAAATTACGAAAAATAACACAATCAACCCACGTCCAATTCGTTTCTAAAAGCTTTCAATCAGCTAACACCAAGTAACCAAAATGGACTTAAATAAAAAACGGCCTCAAACGCTATCGCCATTTTTTGGCCAACATATTTCAATTGGCGATGTCCGAATGTCCTCCCTAATCACTATATAGAGTTTACGCCATTTTAAATGAGTGCCCGAACGTCTAGTGGATGAAGAAGTAGTGAACTCGAAAATTCCCACAATGCACCTTGAAAAGTAGCGATCATCCATGGTCACTAGACGAGCAGATATATCCCGGCTTGTTTTGCGAGTGTAATTTAATATAGCATTATGCGATTTTTTTGTCACAGCGGCCCACTGTTGCCATAAGCTGTTGCTACCCGACAGCGGCAACAGATAACAAAGCTGGCAAAGATGCTTATGTGACCAACGGGTAGCGAAAAGTAGTGATCATCTGTCCAAACGGTCATTTAACTGAGTTTGCTATAAAGTCCGTCATATAGTCTTCGCTCTATATACTGATTGAGGGATGGAGGGGTTAGAGCAGATGTTCGGACACAGCCATTGTCTGGTTATGTGCACAGAATCTGGAAATTAATGAAACAGGTAATAAATGTTGGAGGTGTTGCGCCACCAATCAGCTTCCTGAGTGAAACGCAGACTGAGAAATGAAGATTAAAAACATTTTCTTTTAACCGGGTTATCTGATAGCAAATATTACAAAAATTCCATAAAAATATTGTTTATTTAAACTAGAATTGATATTTCATCCACTTTTCTGTTTTGTCTGCTTCTGTTTGTATTTACACGACAGATTTCATCTTCCCATCCAGAGGAACTAAGGTTTGAATTCAGACTCAGAGAGCAGACCCAGTTTAAGTATGGATTAGGCATCTGAGTATAGAAAAACATACTGTTTTGAAAAAACAGTGGTAAACTATTTAAAGCGATAGTGTGTAATTTTCAGATACAACTAATGGTCAGACTGCAGTAACATGAACCTTCCCTACCCAGCTCTTCTTCCACTCTAAGAATACGGAGACCATCGTGGTACAAAATGGCATCCACAATGTCCACATCATCTATCTTGTCAAGTGATGACGAAGTTTGTTTGAATAGATCATTTAATAAATTGTATTTTATTTATCTGTGCAGGATTTATTCCCAACATTTGAGCTTAATGGCCATTTCTACATCCACAGGTTTGTCAGCTCTGAGCTGCCATAGCGCAAAGATGTCAGCCTGTATAAATGAGTGACCTAATTAGAAATAGCAATTTCTAAGGCAACAGAAATATAAAGCTTGAGTCTTTCAGTTCGCAGATGATAATAAATTACAAATTTACGTATAATATTTTACATGTCTGTCAGTAAATCCCTGAAATTCTTAAACACTGTAGCTTTAATAACACTGATGTGTTGTGTTTTTTGTTTTTTTTTAATCAATGACAGAAAATACAAACGATCAAAATGCACATCGTCATAATTAAGTTTTTGTAATCAAAATGTAATTTTGTTTGGTTTCATCTTTACACTTCAGTCTTGTTTTTGTGTGGATACCGTAGTAAACTTTGTATGGATGTAGCCGGCCTAACTTTAAGCCTAATATTTATTATGTCTTTTTGTTTTATTGATCACTTATTTGTTATTATTTTAATAAGTTACATGATTGTATAAATTAGAGATGCCTTGCTGATATATTAATCCTTTAACTGTCACATCCAGTCCCCAGGACATATGTGATGTCTTCAAATTCGGAGCCTCTTATAGCCGCTATTATTAGGATTCCTGTCTGTGTGGTTTGTGTTTTGTGTGTTTGTTTTCCTTCCTCCACCAGGCGGCACCTGGTCCTGATTAACCTCCTCACACACCTGCTAAGGGTTACCTCATTAACGGAGTGGTCTTAAGCTGCAGACTGCCACTACCTCGACGCCAGAGTGTTTGCCAGTTTTGGGAAGTAACCCTCTAAACTGGACGTTTTGGACCTTCTCTCCCTGAAAGGATCAACTGAGCCTCAAACTGAGCTGGGGATTCAAACTGGAGGTTTGGATCCACTTTCCTCCAAGGGATCGTTTGAGTTTCACACTGAGCAAGGGATTCATCTGCACCACAGTCCGTTCAAGTATCGCAGGAAATCTGAGTGGCAGTCAGTTTCTCCGTTCTCCTACAAACAACCGCATTGTGGGTAAACTCTGTCCGCCCTCCACCGAATGAGACAAACACTGGAACACCCCACACCGACTGGAGTCAAAGAGTCAACCATTTCTCCTCTTCAGGTTCGAGAATCAATTTTCCCACTGAACCTGAACTAACCGCAGTGTCTTCCCCTCCCCTTTCAGTTCTGGTTGAGCAGTGTTCAGAGCAACACTGGAATCTCCACAAGCTTCTTAATAAACCTGTTAAACTTTTTCCCTGGTCTCTCTGTATTGGTTTCTCTGCATGTGGGTCCGAGCTCTTGATAAAATCATGACAACTATAAGCTTAATGCTGCAAATCAGACCGTCTTAAGGGTTAAAGAACAGCAGTGGATTTAATTTATGCTTTTTTAGGCATTTCAAAGTCATTTTGGTGATTTTGATGTGGGCGGTTAACAATTTAGAGTTAATATCTATTGTTCCAGATCCCTATGCGCAGATGTATTGAGTATATTTCTGTAATAAATGTAAGTTAAAAACAATAACTTAAACATTTGGAAAGTTTATCCTATTATGAGTGTCTGTCTTTCTCAACCTATATAGTTAGTTTTTTAAGGATGGAATTTGTCCTGTTAACCAGTTTTTTCTTTTCAGTTACCTTCTGGGATATACATTTGTACATGTATACATATCATGTAGAGCTTGTAGAGAGGAGATATTTAAAAAAAATCATTAGTAATGATGATGACATTGAAGCAAACAGAGCTCTGGTATTAGAAATGGGACCTGCAGATTTCCAAATTCAGGTATAGACATAGATAAGTATAGATAGAGTAAATAAAAACTAACATTTAGCTGTAAAAGAAAATTCTGTATTTTTTTTTTTATTTTAAGTTCACATAAACCACTTTCAAAGTTTTTAAGGCAACTTGTTTAATAAAGTTGCAGTCTGCTTCTGTCTTGGCCCCTTTTTACATCGCAATAAACAATAAAGCTCTGACAAAAAAAAACGAATCCTTTCAAGGTTTAACTATTTCAAATACAATGAATTATATTGCTGTATACAAAAGTACCTGCCATCTGCTTGAGCCGCCGAGTCTGGATTTGTTCTATAAGATGAAGCCAAGAGTGTTCTTGGGTGCAGGTAAGATATTGACAGCTTTTAACCAAAAAATGAACAACTAGCCCTTTAAGAGCAGCAGCCTTGGCCCTTGCCATGCCTACTTTAGAGTGGCCACTTCCTCAAGGAGTGATTGCGACACCTAAGGCATGTTTTCTCTACCTTAATGTCTGCAAGAAATGATTTTCAAATCAGCAGAATGTGAAAATCCTTGACTGAGGCCCCCGATGGACCCTTCATGGAGCACATATGAGATGGTGAAAAGTTGCTTGCTAAAGGGGGGGGGAGTGGGTGTTTAAATTTACTGCTACTGTTGAAATGGAGGCAGAGAGCCACACTTCACTCTCCAGACGTTTGCTCGCTGGATCTCATCAGGAGTTGGCAAACGGTCAAACGGACGGAACGTGGGGCCCCACTGGAAGGGGTTCCAGCAACAACACTCCACGTGTCCAATCTGAGTGTACATGCACGTGTGTGTGTGTCTGCAGGTTTAGTAAACATGCTGCACAGTCAGTTTCATCCCCCCCTGATCAGAAATCCAGTGGTTTTGTTAATGCTCTCAGCTCCAAACAAGAAGAATTTACCATCAGCTCCAGTTTTGGCTTCAGTTTCGAAAACAAACTGTGATGCAATGTGCATTAAAAAAAGAAGAAAACAAGGAATCTATACACCTTTCACTCATCTCTCTAAGTGTAACTCAAACTTCAGTCCATGCTAGCCCCTGTGCTGTGTGTTTGGATGCATGTAGATGATTTCCTACTTGCCACTCTTCCTCCTGCAGCCTGTTTTGTTCCTGAGGCTTCTCAGTCAGTCAGGGTGTCAGCGGCAGCATCTCGCTCATGTGCCAAATACTTGAGGCTTTCCAGTAAATTGAGATAAAACTAGAGCGTAACTGGCACCAGGGTGATTAAACAAGGTGGTGGGGGGTTAGGGGGAAGGAGGAGGAAATAAAAAAATCAGCAGAGATTCCACAATAACAGACGATACGAGGCTTGCACACAGAAATCTAATTTAGGGACCTTCCATCTCCCATCACTCTCCACAGCTAGTAGCATCACTTTTTACAGGTGCATCTCATTAAATAAAAATGAGTTTTTGTTCCTCCAGACTATAGGATTCTGATTTTCTTAAATTTCTAACTCATGACTTTCAAAGGTTTATATTTGTTGAAAGCTTTATATCTAATACTGACCCCAGCTGCAGTCAAAGCTCCTCCAAACCCTTATATTGACTTTGGTTCACAAATCCTCATGAAGCTGCAGTTACTCTTGTTCTTTCTGAGTCTTTTTTGTACCAAAGTTTTCCGTACCAAAGTTTTCCTTCCACTCAACTTTCTAATATATGCTTAGGTGCATTGAGTCGGATTTGCAATCCTTTGAACAGGGAGGGGCAGAGCTAGATAGGGGGTCAGGGGTGGCCATGGCCACCCTTAGCCAATCATTTGCCACCCCTGTGGCCACCCCTACCACCCCCCCCCCCTAATAATCAAGTGGAATATTCAAAATTTTTTCATATATTACTTACTATTTTTTTCATATATTAATAATTACTTGATAACAAAAACAGTCTGCGATGGAGTGGCGACCTGTCCAGGGTGGACCCCCCCTCTCGCCCATAGACAGCTGGAGGTAGGCACCCCTCGAAACCCCTACTTGGGATTAAGTGTGTCAGATAATGGATGGATGGGAAAAAAACACTGTGGTTGATTATGCACAATCAATATACTAACATTAAAGATGATAAGTACAGAATTCCTGCTCTTTTCAGAACTAGATTTTAGGTTATATGGGGTAAAAAGAAAATGATGTGTCTGTGCATTCATCTAGGATTCTTTAGTGAAATCAGAGATAAATAAAAATTGTAGTAAAAACGTAGTAAATAATCAATTTATGTAAATAATAGTACTTCTAAATATCAATAATATTCATAAAAGTAGGCAAGTAATGATAATGGAAGAGATGTTTACCCCAGAACTCAAGCCTGAAAGAATTTTATCCACCATGTATTTTATTTAGAAAGCACAGATGTTTAAAAGTATGCATCTATTCATTAGCAAAGGCTGTAGGAAAGTATAGTTTGTCTTTATTTAGTAAATATGGATGTTTTGCTCGTTCATTTTCCTGTTGGAACAGTGTAGATTGACATTTTCGGCCACCTGGCCACCCTTATAAAAAATGTCTGGCTACAGCTCTGGGAACAGGTTGCTTTCCCCACACCTTTTCCTTCCTGTTCATTTTCCATTAAATACTCAGACATCACACTTTTAATAGCCAGCTCATTCTGGTTGTTTTGTCTGGGTTATTATTATAATTTTTTTTTAGCAATAAACATTTGTATCTTACCATACTTGGGGAGGTTTTGGATAATTTGGAAAGATGTCAAGGCATCAATCTTCTCTATTTCTGTATTTTCCTACTTTTTTTGTAGAAATCCTGTTGCAGCTCCCATAATCAGTCTAACACTGACAAAGCAGAGAAGGAAACTTATGCTAAAGTGTTGCATACGTAAAGACAAAGAGGATTTTTGTGATAACTGGAGGTCTTCTTGACACCCTGCTGTTTTGTCAAACAGCTGCTTGGTTTGCTTATACCTTGGGCCAACTCTGGAAAATACTACATCATCAAATTAGAGAAAATAAACACAAAAAAAACCTAAAAATACCCAAGAGAAAGTGTTAAAAAGCTTTAACCCAGTGGTGCACCCCCGCAAAGATTCCCACAACCGCTGCCACGGCAGATCTTACACAAGCCTGTAATGTCAGTCAAAGCTGCAGGATATGATTGCTGTGCATATGTGTGTAGAGGTGCATGCATAACTTTTAGAAAAGTGTGACACCGACCTGCTCGAGTCGATCCTGCAGGATCTGGAAGGACTGCGACAGGTCCCGCGTCTGCCTCCAGGTCCACGCCGTGAAGAGCGCGCTGCAGGCGGCCAGAGACAGAGCCACCAGGGCCAGGGAAGCCCAGACGACCCGCAGCTTGCGCACTCGCCTCCTCTGCAGAAACCGCTGCATGTTCGCTGCACTCTGCACAGCAGATTGCTCACTCACCGCCGCAGACCATCCGAGATTCACGCATTAACTCCATCCCAGCAGGGCATGAAATCCACTCGAATGCGCTTTAGTCCAAATGCTCCATCTTTTCTGTGGAGTGAGAGAGAGAGCGTTTGCTCTTTCCACTGCCTTTTAGGGGAACAAATGTCTAGTTTTTTTATTTTAGTTCTTAAAAAAAAAAAAAAGACAACAAACTAAGATTGGATCCTTTTCCTCTGGTGGATTCCAACCATTATCCCCTCTGTGCGCAGAGCGTCTCCAAACGCAAGAAAAAAACCTCTGCAATTTATGCACACATCAACTGTTGCATCCTTCTGCTTGCGATTCGTTGACACAGCGCTCTTGTGTTCCCTTTAAACCGCTTGCTGGGGGGTCAGTCTGTTAGACAGACAGCCAGACTGAGTGAGCACGCACTGCTGCGGGGGTGTGGAGGGATTTGCGTGGTGCGCGTAAAGAAAAAAAAAAAGAAAAAAGCAGAGGAGGCGCACCGCAGCTCCTGCCGCCTGTCAGATCCCTTTCATCAAGGGAGCATACCTTTAAGTGTGCCAATCATGTGGGTAACAGTATCCTTTGTGGCCGCCAGGCGGCTGTAAAGGTGCATAGTGGAAGATACTCTAATATAACAAATACATAAACAAGCTAAATAAACTCTTTTCAAACTGAAACCTGTTGCTATTTATAATTATCTTGCAAAAGCATGCATTCCCCTTTAAACTGTCCCAATTTCTATCATATTATACCAACAAAATCTAATGTATTCTTTCAAGACCTTTCGAGAAATTCTAATATTAAGCTCATTTATACATAGACACCCAGAGGAAATACTCTAGATCAGGGGTCTTCAATGATTTCCAGGCCAAGGACCCCCAAACTGATGGAGAGATGGAGCAGGGACCCCTAATTATATATATGGTATGAAATTGTGTTATATAAACTGATCCTATAGTCACTCTATTACATATGGAGTAATGTAAGGAAAGTAATTTCTCCCTGGGATTATTAAAGTATTTCTGATTCCTGGTTGATGGGACAGGTGTTGTGAATGAAACGGTGCCCAGCTTAAAAGAGCTCCTGTGTGTCACTGAATGTGTGCATTGATGACAGAAAGACATCTTCTGCCTCTATTTATCTGTTTGCTACAGTGTGTTTAGTTCATGTTAATGTGGATTTACAGACATTTCAATTAGTGGAAAAATTGCAGGGGGAATATAAAAAAACAGTGTAGTGAAAAAGTGAAGGACTGGTGTGGACATGTCCCCTGGTCCCCCCAACTTTGGCTTGGCGGGGACAGGCCCCACCTTTAATATGTGCGTTAATGCAACAAAGAAGATGCTAGTTGATGTAGCTTCTAGGTCCTGAACAGGGGAGGGAGAGAGGCAGTGTCATTTATAAATAATGCACTAAAAGGCATCATTCTAACTATCTATAAATATAAATAGCTGCATATTGTAGCAGTCTTTTTTTCTCAACAATAGAAAAGCATTCAATTAATGTATGTTTGGGTTCATTTTTGGAAAATACTAAAAAAAAACGAAAGTGTTTGGGTTGTGTAACTGCAGGTCCATCAGCCACCACCCTTAGAGCTTCCCCACCAACTTTCATTACAAAGTTACACCCTTGCTGTAGACCAGGGGTCATCAACCTTTCTTATACAAGCAGTCGGAGCCACAAATTCTACATTGCTTTTTAAAAAAGAGCAACTAATTACTTTTGTTAAATAGTTGCGATAAGAAATCTGATGTAATTTAAAACAGTACTTTTTTTTTTAGTTGTTGTTGCTTTTTTTAGAAATAAGGACAAAACATTAACTTTTCAAAAAGACGATGCATTGATTGTTTTGTTCTATTATTTAACGTAGAAAATAAACATAGTTTCCAAGCTAATGACAAGAATTATAGATGTAAAAACGTATTAAAGCCTTCTAGGACTCTGTGGTGGCATCAGCCCTCCTCTAGGCTGTTGTCTGCTGGGCCCCTGGCAGCGCAGAGCGGGACGGAAAGAGACTGAACAAACTGGTGAGAAAGACTGTTTCTGTCCTAGGCTGGACTCTGGAATCAGTGGAGGAAGATGCTGAGAGGAGGGTGCTGTCCAAGCTTACATCCATCATGGACAACACTTTCTATCCTCTGCACCAGATTGTAGAGGAGCTGAGAAGCTACTTTAGTGAAAAACTTTTACACTCTGTCTGTAAAAAGGAGCACTACTGCAGGTCATTCATCTCTGATGCAATCAGACTCTATAATGCAACACTGCAACGCAACTTGTGCAATGTATAATGTGCAATTACTATTTGATACCCAGTGCAATAACTATATATATAAATATATCCATCTATATAAATACCCATTTAAATACCCTGTGCAATAACCTTGTATAATGATCCTGCTATAAAAATAACGATTTCAGCTGTCATATGTGGACTCACTGTATATACTGTATGTACCTCATGCACCTTCTTCTCTTTTTGACTATTTGAGCTGATGTAACGAGTAAATTTCTCCACTGTGAGATCAATAAAGTCAATCAATCAATTTCTGAATCTTTATTATAAATCTAAAGAGATTAAATTAAAATGCTTTTTAAATTATAATTGGTATTTTTTAATATCGTATATTTTAAACCATTGTTGAAGGTCCAAAGAGACACCTGTAGGTCTGCAATCACAGGTTACAAATCCTTGCTCTAGTCTAAACCATCAATTCCTAAAGTTGGGGTTTTTAACCCCGTTTAGGGACCTTTTTTAGCCAGTATGGGATGCATGATTTTGCAAGATAATTTAATTAGAAATAACAACACCTATGTTCTTAGGTTTTAGTTTAAGAAAAGTTTATTTAGCTTCCAAAACCTTTGTTTATTTGTTATTAGCCAGTACAGGGTCTTGGGCTAGTCTACACAATTTAAACAAAACAAACGTCTATTTTGAAATACTTAAAGATACAAAAGGATAAATTAAAAAATTGACAGCACCAACTACTTTGGATGTTGAGGCTCTTTGTGATTTTATGATGCCCTTTATTATTTGATAAGTAGGCCTAGAGGTTTGGGGAAAATAAGACACATATGTCCAGAGGACTTAGGCAAATTTTATTGTCATTTAGATAAAGTTAGTTAGTCTAAAACTGATATTACTGCTGCAGATCCTCTGGAGGTATGTTTCTATCACATTTGCACTTCTCAAGACAACACATTTTCAACAATTCTTATATCCCTGCTAAAAAAAGCATTATGCTGCCCCCACCATGCTTTACAGGGGAAATGGTTTCAGTAGGATGTACAGTATTTGTTTCCTCCAGTTTTGTTTAATTTTGTCTCAGCTAATCAGAGCAGAAGCAGAAATAAACGTTCTTCCACAAGTTGTAGAAAGTTACTAAAAGTATTCCTTATGGCTATCTCCTTCTGTTTCATCTCCTCTCACTGTCCTCTGCATGGCCCTCTTGTCTGCCTCATTGATACCTCCCCTAAAACGTTTCACTTTTAGCTGTTATTATTAGAAAGAGACAAATAATATCCATGAGCGTCTTCCCTTTTAACCACAGAGGTAAAATATTAGGACCCATACTCCAGAATAGCATAGCATCAACGTGACACCACTTTAAAATTGGAAAAACCTGTGCAGTCACCATGAATTATCTTCATATTTTCCCTTCCCCCTTCAAAAAAAAAAGTCAGACTTTTCTTCCTTTCCTCTGCTGGCTCATCTCCTTATTTCTTTTGGGCATTTCTCAAACATAAATAATCGATCACTGTCAGGAACAGTCAGAGACGATACAAGCAAGCTTCCTCACAAGAAGTTAGTCTAACCTCTTGGATTTTTGCTGTTGTATTTTGAAAGGGAAACCTTTCATCTCTAACCTCTGTGGATGAAAGTGGTCTCATAAATCAGAGCTTCTTTTTTTTTCATTTAAAAAAACTGATTAAACAAATGAATAGAAGAACCTCCACATCAATCATGTCCTTAAGTAATAATAAGACTATGACCATAAAACAGGCTTACATTGGAGGCAAATTGACTTTTCCAGCTGCCTCCGGATGAATGAGGATTTGCACAAGAATGATGCGATGTAGAACGATCACAAAAAACTCTTTATGTGTTCAAAAAGAACTTTGAGGATTTCCTTTTATTTTCCACAGAATACACATATTTCTGTGTAACGTTATTGTTTGAACCACAGTAGAGGAGGTGTCATGTATGGGGAATCCTTTGATTCAGTTTCCTGTTGTTGCTTATTCCCTGAATGCTGCATTGTTTGACCATGTAAATGTAGGCGTTTTCTTTTTTTTTCAGAAAAACCTAAAGAGGTTAAGGTGAAAGGGTGTGAAAAATTGGGTTTCTAATAACATATGTTAGATTAGTTAAATAGACTGATGTATGTTGGCTTTAAATCATTTTGCATTTATAGGCTTTATGCATTATGATTAAGGCAAAATTCATTATTTTACTTTCAGAAAGAGAACAGCAAGACATTAATTATGCAAACAAAAAGAGGGAATTGTCAAGCAAATTGTCGACAAGTCTAACCAAGTGCTGCATCTTCTCGTGTTTTCTTCCTATTCTGAGAAAAAAGTTTATGTCCATCGTCTATCTATAAGATTCTCTAGTGACCAATTTATATATTTCTGTCCAAAAAAAGTCCATCAGAGTTTTATAAAAACTAAATAAAAAAAAAAGACTTGTGTAGTTCAAGGGTTATAGAGCAGACTCTATTAGAGTTCCAAGTAGGGGTGCGGTAAAAAAATTGTTTTTGCGATCTGGATTCCTGATTTTTGTCTGCCCGATATAATATCAATCTTTCAGTTCCTCGATTTTTTAAAAACAAAAAATGTTTTACCTAAAACAATGAGGGAAAATGGGCTACCTCTGCACCGCCACTCAGGCAGATAGTGCTGTGGATCCCTTTTCCTGTGCGGCGAAGCGCCATTTCTGTAGTTGATGCAGTCAAAGTGGAAGACGTTGACTGACTCAAACCCCAAGCAACATGGATACCAAAAAAAGTAAATGATCAATATCTTCTAATGAACATAAACAGCACCTGCTTTTTTATCTATGAATTAAATTTTGACAAGGAAAAAGAAAAATTGCAATATATAGTTATATCGTTACATGTATCATATCACAACACCCATGCCAATACTCACCCCCAGTTCCCAGGGTCTTTGGCAATTAATTGCCCACAGTATTACACATCCTCCTCCATACTTAGCAGTGCGTAGGTGGGGGCTTTTCAACATCTTCACCCAGACCTGTAGTTTTCCAGAAAAGCTCCATCTACTAAAGCTGTTAAAAGTTAAAGCTCAGATTTTGTTTTCTAGAGATTGAAAAGGGAAATGAGCCTTTGTTACATTAAGCATATATATAAGGTATATAAGGTATTTATCACCAACTAAGAGCAAATAGACACAAAATCACATTTAAAAACTAGTGTAAATT